GTTCAAGTTTTAGAACTATATATTACTCAATTTCTTAATTTAAAAGCAAACATTAAAAAATCAGATAAACATCGATTTTTCTGTGTCACGTGGTATGTTGAATGCAGCACTGGTTCAAAATTAGATGTTTGTGAAGTCAAAATACTAAGTCTATAGTTTGAATGAATTAGAAACTCAAATTACTGATATTAACAAGCTAGAATATAAAATAAGAGCCTCTTATATTTTCAACTTGCTAAGATATTGCTCATGTAATAAATCATACACAGTGGCACCCTGCCCACCTCTTTCCATTTTCGGAAACACTCCCTTATATACACTTACTTCCATATATGACATGACTAACCAATCAGAAGCTCAGAATGTCCCCCTAGTGACTTTATCAGCTATTTGAATGGACTTGAAGCCATTTCTTTCTTTTGAACCAATATTTCAATGAGGTACGGGTGTCTTTTTCCTCTAGTCTAACTAGTGTAACTGTTAAATTAGGGACGGCTAGCGCAGATAGCCCTCGTGTAGCTTTGCACGAAATTAAAAAAAACATCTTGTACTTTCAAATTATTTTCGTACTTTAAAACGTGTACTGTTAAAACGTGATTTAAAAATATATATTAAAAAAAACTTGTAGAAAATTAATTTTATTGATGATAATACCCTTACATTTTAATTATTTTATAACACACTACGAATAGTTTTCCTAGTGTCCAGAACTACATGCTTTTTCGTTAATTATTTAGGCATAAGTGTATGTGACTTAACCAGACCCAAATTTATCATGCGGAAAATATTCTAACTTACTAAAATTATGTTAGAACGATAGGTGTGGATTAGGGCTTCCATTTTGTGAGTATAAAATATTAGCAAACGTCTTAACTGGGGAAGTTATTCAGCATTCTTTGCCCTTCATTTGACCAGTATTTTCAAATTTATTGCTGCTGCAAAGTTATGTTCCAAGTGCAATAAATGCAGTTAATGTGATTGTGGCCACGATGGATATTTACCGAAAGAAAGATGTCAGGAAAAGAATGTTTCAAAAAAAGTAGAAGAAGAAAGTTGCTTCGGAAGCAATAGTCACTATCGTCATGGTGATTCAAATGTTAATGAAGGTCATTCATTGTCCCCTTTGTTCAAACTTTCTGTAAAGGCCATCTTGTGCACTTTGTCTCTTATTGTTCTTATTCAAATATTTCTGATTCTTGTTTGCTTTGAAATATTTAAGTTTCTGGCCAAGTTTACATTCGTCAGGACAGGTCAACTTTTTTTTATACCCTATAGACCCAAGTTTAATTACACAATCAATAGTCAAAAAATTAATACTACCGGATCTGCTGATGTGAAAATTGATCACTAAATTTCTAGGATCTTGGCATACTGAAGTTGTGAATTTGGGGTAAGAATATTAAATATGCATACATATGTTAAAATCTAAAACTATTAAACTTGTTTTGTCGTTGTAATTCTCTATATTAATCATGGCTTATAAGATAAACAAATTAAAAGAAAAATAGGCTAACGCTTTGAAGAGAAAATGGATAGATCGAATTCTGAACATATACGATTGGCTTCAGATAATAAGAACAAAACTCTTGAATCTTTAGTTGTATTTAGCTTTCAACTCTATTCACAAAAGAAGAAAAATACAATTTCTACTGGAGCGAATGAAAACTAGCAACGCGAACGACAATAAATTCAGTTATAAACATAAATTGTGACATAGCATTATGTTTATGCTGTTAAACTATATACAGTATAAAATAAAATAATAGTAATAAAATAAATATTACATCCTATAGTAAATTTTATGTGCAACCCCTTCCTTATTGAAATGTTATTACACAATGTGAATTTTTATAATATTGCCAGTTAAATAATAATAATAATATATTTTAAACTCAAATATTCCGAAAGGTGGCGATTAGTTGCTCATATTTGTTTATGGCGATGGCATCGATAGGGAAGAATCGAAGTATGGTACGACGTCATAAGTGGTCATTTTCCTTTCCTCAGAGGTTCGAGCTGTTTTTATATTATACATTTTATTGTATCTAAAAACAATAACTACTAATTTATAATTCGTACCAGTTTAATATTGTATTTGTCTGTATGTATATATGATAAATTATTTATAATAAATCTGATTAATCCAAGGTCTGACAGTGACTGACAAACAGCAAATTGGTATTCCTACTACTAGTAGTAGTATTACTATTAGTAACACTTCTTCAGTTCGTGGTTATACTAGTTCTTGTATATTGTAAGATACGGATTGCTTTAGATTTATAATTTATGACTGTGCAAGGTTTGGCTCGCCCTCTTGTGGTATGTGCAAACAATACGTATAATAATATTAATATTAGAGTTATTGCATAGGAGATGTTTGAATTAAGTACAATAATGTAAGTAAGTAAGATTTAAATAAATTCTATCAGAAGATATGATTTAAGATTTTAACTAAGTTTCATATACAAGCATAGTCCTATTAAGGAATGGTTAAATACACATTATCTAACTGTGAGTGTAACATTTAATATTTTATAAAATGCATAATTGCTAACACTATGAAAAGAGAGCATGCCAAACATTCTTGTTGGACAGAAGAAACAAGACTGTTCAGTATTAAACTTCAGTCAGTTCATTAGTCTGATTAGAAGTGGTTAATGAAAGTGTTCCAAAACACGACATTAATTTCTTGATGACCTAATTCCTACCAAAAACATACATCATGTATAATAGTTAAATGAACTGCCTAAATGTCACATTAGTGTAGCCTATATAACGCTTAAAGTTTAGTGTACTCTAATCCCTTATAGGGATGGCACATGACAAGACACACCTTCGGCATGTAATGCTGTTTGAATACAAGAAGAGAAACAACGCCGCTGTAGCCACAAATAATATCAAATATGTTAAATGTTTTGAACGTTCGTAAGTGTCAATGATGGTTCAGCAAATTTTGTTCAGGTGACTTGAGCCTTAAAATCTGTGATGACAGGGGGCCGACATGTTAGAATTGATAGTGATGCTCTGAAGACGCTTGTTGAGTCTAACCCAAGGCAACACACTTGTGAAGTGGCTCTGAAATTGCATGTCTTTCATGAAACAATAAGTAAATGTTTAAGGAATATGGGAAAACTCCACAAAGAAGGTGTTTTGGTGCCTCACGAACTCTCCAATGATCATCATATCCAACATGTGAATGTTGCTTCATCTCTTCTGGCGTGTAATGCACGTGAACCATTTTTGGACAGAATTGGCACCGGTGATGAAAAACGGATTCTCTATGAGAATATTAAATGCTAAAAGCAATGGCTCAGTCCTAGACAAAAACCACTTCTGACCCAAAACCTGGACATCATCTGTAGAAAGTGATGCTTGACATTTGGTGGGACATCAAAGGAGTAATTCATTTCAAACTCCTCAATCCATGGTGAACTGTCAATGCAGAAATCTATAGTCAGCAACTGGAACATTAAATCAAGCCTTTCATCAGAAATGCCCTTCACTCGGAAAGGTGTTCTCCTCCACGACAATGTATGTCCACATGTGGCACGTTTGACGCAACACAAAATTATGGAGTTTAGTTGGGAAGTTCTCCCCCACCCACCATATTCTCTAGATGTGACACTATCAGATTACCATATTTTTCGTTCGCTGCAACACCATCTTAATGGGAAAACATATGCAAATATGGAAGGTGTTAAAGAGGACATTGACATGTTTTTTTGCTTCAAGCCAATTGATTTCTTTAATCAGGGCATTAACAACTTGATTGTAAGATGGAAAAGCATCATTGATAAGAATGGAGACTATTTCATTGAATAAATTTTTTGTTTTGGTATATAAGCTGTTTGGGTTTTTTCATCTAAAAAAAGTGACATTAATTTTTTAAACAAGCTAATACAACAGAAAAAAGTTTTCTGCTTATAATTTGAGACCAGAAAGTATAATATTGATGATTTTGAGTGCATGAGTTTAATTGAAATATTCTAAAGAAGAAATATTGCAGGTCTTCTTGTCTGATTAAATGGGTTTGGGAATATATGTACTGTGGGTCTTTTTACCAGACTAGGTCATATTGGTTGACAATAT